CCCTTTTTGTAGTAGATTTCCCGGGCTCATGCCAAAGAGGCTACCGAACATGCCGCCCTGTTGTGTTGTGTCGTCGTTGCTAGTGTTGGAGGTTGTTGAGCTGAAGGAGGCGCTGCGCATGCGCAGGACGTCGGTCGCCATCTCGAGAAAGCGCTGTATAAAATCCCAGACGGGAAATCCGAGTACGTCCAAGGCTTTGAACAGGACGTATAGACCGATGATGGCGCCGAGCAGGGCGGACGTGATGGTGGTATGCGACTGGGTTGTGTTCCAGCGTTGTTGATAGGCCTCGAATTCGGGGTACTCTGCGTAGCTCATAGCTGGGTGCAAGGTAGGAATAAATTTGAAACGCTAGGCTGCTACAGGCAGGCTGTGGGAGCGGCGGTAGCGAGAGGCTTTTCCAGGTTGAACTAGGAGTTGGGTAACGCTTGCAGGCGCAAATGGTGGGTCTTTCAACCTTCGGGCCAGCGCATGGATGTAGTTGTGGTCAGACAGAGCAAACGCGGCGGTGTGTTTGTCTGCGACATGGGCGAGAGACTGGGTGCGACAGTCGGGGCGAGACGGGCGACGGCGGTGGTGGCGGAACGGCGTGAATATCTAGGCCAAGGGCGAGGCACGCGATTCTGAAGGGTCATTGGGGAAGGTGCGGGAGCGCGCTAGCGGCTCAAGTGGATCCCGAATTTTGGGTTCGCGTTCACGAGCTAGTGGGGACTTTTGGAGATTTTGGGTCCAGTTGAGACTTCTTTCGACTGCACACGAGATTTCACTAGAGAGTATTCCACGTACCGTGACTATCACACGTAATCGCGCGTCTTTAATCAATTCCTTCACACCATCGGAACTCTGTAGCGACAACAAGAAGCCAACACAATGGCAAAGACAGCAAAGGTCAAGAAGCGCCGTATGTACCACGAGAATACCATCCTCATGAACAACTCCTAACAACCACACAGCGGTGAGCATTCACTCCCGTACCGCCCGTCGCGCCGTCTCCCCCTCCCTCAACCTCGACAAAGCCGCCCAAAAACCGGCCCACACAACCCGCGACTCCGCCTCGCCATCGCGGCCCTCTAAAGTAAACCCCCACGCCCTCGCCGCAAAAGATGCCGGCATCCAGAAGAAGCGTAAGAAAGGCACAAACATGACCCGCGCACAACGGTTACGCTACGAAAAGGGCCTCGACCGTGCGGAGGAAAACATGGAAAAGCTCGAAAAGAAGCGGATGAAGAGCGTGGGCAAAGAACAGAAGATCAAGGATAGGGCTAAGGGCTGGGAGGATGTCAATGGCGATGGCACGAAGAAGACGAAGAAGCAAGTTGCGCTTGAGCAGTTGGAGGCGGAGGAGAAGCGGAAGGAGAGGGAGTGGGTTAGTGATGAGGATATGGACGAGGAAGAGGCAGCGGCCGAGGAAGGTGCTGAGGTCAAAGATGGCGAGGTCAAGGGCGACGGCAAGGAGGTGGATGTTGAGATTGCGCAGAGCGTTCCGGCGCCTATGGAGGAAGAGGAAATGCTTTGAGTTACAACAAGCAAGAAAGAAGGGGTCGAACACCATAGTCACGAAGCATATGATACCCACAAGTTACGAATCGATACGTTGGACTTCTCTTCATCGTCAATTCAACGTTCACGCTCGTTATCGATCGAGATGATGTGCTGATATACAAGCCAGCTCCTTCGTCAATAACAAAGAAACCCAGGCTGCTAGTACCGCCCTGTCCCTCGAAGCAGACGCGCAAATCATCAACCCCTCCTACCCCATCCATGCGCATAATCATTATCTGCCTCCACCGCTGCCCTAAGCTGATCCTTGTACGAGTGGTAGAGCTGCTTGATGCGCCCGTTCTCCTCCATAGTATCCACAATCTTCCGTGCCTCCTTCTCCCTCTTGCGATCACTTCGCCCATCTCGTTTGACTAGCTTCTCCGCCGTCAGATGTCCCTCATCCTTGAGGTAGTCTTTGACCCATTGGTAGAGATTGTAGCGCCAGTGGTACAAAGTATGCGCAACTTGGGCATTAGCTTTGCAAGTCGAACCCAGTGGGAAGCGGTGGGACTCTGGTGGTATCCGGTCACCTTGGTAGTTGAAGGTTGGCTTTTCGCCGTTGAGGTGGGTTTCAGAGTCGGCGGATAAGGCGGAGTCACTGTCGCTATCGCTGTCATCTGAAGCATTGGCGAGAGGTTCCAGTGTCTCCGGGTGGTAGGGCTGGCCCTGGAAGAGGACCTCGAAGCTCGCAGTATGGTTGGTTCGGTTGCATGCTTCGCAATGTGGTGACATCACGGCCCTTTCGGCAGCGCTGAGTTCGTTCATCAAGAGCAACGGTCTTGCGCGAATGGCTCTAGTAAAGTCTGCTGTCCAGGCTGAGGATGTGTACTTGGAACCCGCGAGACCCTTCACTTCGTCGTCCAGTTTGCGGAAAGTCAGCACGTAAACGTTCTTCTCCGCATCGAAAGCTGGATGAATCTTCTTCATGACCATCCACTCGACAGCGTGTTTGAACAGATCCCGTGTTTTCGCGCGCGACAGACTGAACGCCAGACGCATTTCATCGAGATCGTCATTGACAGACGGTTCTCCGAGCACATTGTCCGGATCGTCGTCGATGAAGTGCTCATCTTCTTGGTCTTCCTGGAACATGTCAAGGGCGTTGGCATCGCGGTCTGACTCTTGCTCGTCGTCTTCGATGTCATCCTGTTCCAAGATCTCAAGATCACTGTCTGGCTCTTCCTTGATAACCTCGAGTTCAGACTCGGAGTCTGTTTCCACCACAACCGCTCTTTTGCGCCCAGGTGTCGCAGAAGAGGGCAGTTCATTGGTACCAGCACGCCGTCTTTTCAATGCTTCTAGAGCTTCCTGGCGTTTGTTTTTGGGCTTGCCTTGCGTGCTTCTTAGTCTGCCGCGATCAGGTAATGGTGAGGATCGCAGGAACGCAAGTTCCTCTTTCAGTTCGTCTTGCTCCTCGTCGTCCTCGTCATTGTTTGCACTTCCCTCACTCGCTTCCTCGTCTTCATCGTCTGAAGCAGAATCCCCACGATTTGTGAGTTGGGGCGTGGCTGACGGCTCTTCCTCGTCCTCTGAAAGTGACTTTCGTCTCTTCAGTCTGCGCCTCGTGCTTCGAGGTGGGCTCTGCTCCTCTTCTTCAGCGGATGGAGAACGCCTGCGGACGATCTTCCGCCTCGAGCTCGGTGCTGGAGTAAGAGGTTCGTCCTCATCCTCGTCTTCGTCTGGTGTCGGGGCCTTCTCCGCAGTCTTTCTTCGGCTGCTGCGAGGCGCAGGCCGCAACTCTTCCTCCTCTGGTGTACTCTCCTTCCTTTCTCGCCGTTTGCTGGCCTTCGAAGACTGAGTCTTCTTTTTCTTCTCTTCCTTCTTCTTGCTCTTCGGTTTCTCCGATGTATCTGATCCGATCTCGATAACACGGCGTTGTCGTTTGCGCGGGATAACTGTGACTGTCGGTTCCTCGTCTTCAGATTCGCTGGGCGTCGGTGCTCGTCTCCGCTTTCGCGACTTCGGTTGCTCCACTTGTACTTCGTCTTCGTCTTCCGACGTCTCTGAGCTGGCAGAGCCATTGTTCGATCCATCGAACATACCACGCGCTGTGCCCCCGACTGGCATCCCTAACTGCAACGCCTTGTTTGTTCCCACTACCAACTCGTCCTCGCTCGAAGAATCATGCTTCTTGTTGTTGCTTTTGTTGGAAACTCTGCTAGGCGCTCGTCTTGTCGGTGTCGTAGCCGTGATGTTCGGCCGCGACGGCGAGGTTCCCATAGTCGTGGCGGCAGTCGATTTAGTCGCAGGTGAGGAATGGGAGGCAGGTGAAAAGTTGATTTTGGTCTGCCGTTTGCGATCGCGCGCCTTCTTGGGTGCCATCTTGGCGTGTCCAGTCTTGGAGTCTGCTTCACTATGGATGTCTCTCACTGAAGTGTCGCCCCAGATTATATCTTGCGCAGCGCCGTCGCGTCGGACAATCGCGTTGCGAAAACGTCGCTGTAGATGTGCGAGTGTCGCAAAACCCCGAGGATAGATGCGCGACTATTATATTATCCAAACGTTTGTAGAGAGTGCTCCAGGACGGCAACAATGCGTCTTCCTTGCGATGACGGTGGGGCGGCAGAAAGAGTGCGCATCTGCAAGGACCCGGCGATTCAGGCAGGCGCGCGAGCACGTGCGCTAGCGTCATGCGGTCTACCGTCAACTGCACAGAACGAACCTGTAACACAAACATTCGCTAAACAACATTCACCATCATTACGAAATGCTCATGTGCCTTGATATCTCTTCAGTGAGACATTAGTCTAGTTGGTTTGATTTCACGCATGTTCCACTAATCTTGGTGCTTAGCAGAAGTGTTGTAACTAATCAATGTCACCGCACTCGCCAATCGACAGTCAGGTTTGGGTTCCCGTCGAAAGCGCCCCATTCAATACATGTATAACTCCTCTATGTCTAGCTCGGCCTGCTTACTGCATCTCATCCGGAACCAATCCTCCTTGAAATCCTGCTAATCATGCCTAGCTGCAGTCTAGTAGAGTGCTCTGAACTGTCCAACTGATCCCTTTTTTCAGAAACGCTACATCGCGCCTTTGACGCAGACTTTCTTCTGATCGTAATTCGATCCGGTCATCGATATTTTCTCTCTTGTGCCTCGCTTCGAGTCTTTTGTCCTGGTCTTCGAAAGAATCTTCAAGCTTTCTCAGCATAGCATCATGCTCTCTCTCAGCGGCTTGTAAAACCTTCACCCTCGCTGCTTTCTCCGCTGCTTCCTTCTCCTCATCTGTTGGAACATAATAAGTTGGAACTAAAATGCCCGTTCCGTTAATCGTTGATTGGCCGTACGCGTTGAAATCATTCTACGAGTCGGGGTTTGGGCCGAGGGTGTCGTCAATTTTTTGTACAGTGCCTTCCCTTTGAGTATCTCTGGCTCTGCTTCTAGCTGCGGTGGTCTCTTATACGCTGCCTTGTCGGCTTTCAACTTCCCGCGAAGGCTTGGTCTGCGAGCTGGTACATCAGCCACTAGCGGTATAGGAATCTTCACTTCGCTGCGCTCTAGTCGTGATTTTCGGCCCTCCACGTGGTTCTGGATCGCACATGTCTATCATTTTCGCAGCCGCTGGCATACTCTTCCTGAAATAGGTTTCTGGCATGCCCCTAGCTCGAACAGTGTTCGCGTGGTCATTCCTCTTCTTCTCCGCTCTAGATCGAGCGTTGTTGATGGCTTTGAGGTTCTTTTGTGCCTGTGCCTCTTTATGTTCAAGACGCTCAGCTTTTTTCTGCTCGTCCCAGCCGGTCCCCCAATAAGCGTTTTTTTCTCTGCACCACAGTATCCTTTCTTATAACAGCAGGTGGTAGACCCTTTCCGTCATCTGGGGGCTCAACCCACTTCTTCTTGAATTTGGGTTCTGGCTCTCCGGCACGCAGAGCTTCCAAGGCTTTGACCTGTTGGCGATAGTTCTTCATCTCGATTTTGCTCTTTGGCGCCAACACTGGGTCATACAGGCCCTTTCCCTCGTTTGGGGGCGGAACCCGCTTCTTCTTGTTGAAATTGGGTTCTGGTTTTCCGGCCCGCAGTGCTTCCAAGGATTGGAGCTGTTTACGGTATGTATTCACATCGATCTTACTCTTTGGTGCTAACACTGAGTCTTTCATCATGTTCTAAAGAGCTTGAAGATATCACTTCCTGCGTGAACTGATGCTATTCCAAGAAGTGGGATTGTCGATGGGATATCAGGCGTAATATAGCTAGGTGACGTTGGAATGGTCTCTTTGTAGTTGTGCGTGACTGGAAGAAACGTGATTGATTGATGTGCTGATGCTCGCTCCAGGCGAATGCTGATTGAAGTGATGAGTAAGTTGAAAGGTATATGTAATTATCGATAGTATAATGCGTGTTCTAAAGAAGCAACGCAAGGATGGCTATGTCGAGGGATACTTATACCTAGCACATCGACTAGATTCACATACTCCTATGTGAAAACGCGTTCGTTGCATTGAATGTGGCTTCACATACATGTCTGGCAATGGAGTGTGCACAGCAAACAGTTCCAACCTTTACGTACGGACTCACGTACTCAGGTTTCCACAAGACATCTCATAAGTCAATGCTACAAACCCGCTTGATATCCTCAAAGGCGATGATACCCTCGTTTGGCGAGCTTCAGGGCACCAAGCTACCCGATTGTGATACCTCTGTGCACCTAGAAGGTTTTAGATCCCACACTTACATATGAACATTTCCAATCCTTAGAAAAGCTATGCCGCGCCAAGATACAGAGAGCAAAGCGTAAGATACTGTAGGGGATGTGTAAAATAGAAGAGCGCGCGTGTTGGAAGGGCAGTTTGGACCGGCATGTCACGCAGACATACAAATTAATCGCATGCGGTGTTCGGGAGTCTACGCTCGACATGAGACTCGAGTATCTTTTTGTCGAACTCCAGCGGATGAACGTGAAGATGACGGTTTTGGTGATACCTGTTCGCTGTATACATAGTCCCAAATTATCGCAAGCGGTGAGAGCTGACAACAGAGTTCGGCTGACAGCACGTTCCATAGGTTCGTCATGTTGCGCGACACTGACTGCAGGCTATGAGCGGCGTCAGGAGCGGAAGTCGGCAGCATGTAGTGTCCCTTGGCGCACAGCTGCAGAGGTGTTCGCGGAAGGATCAAGCGCGTCAGACCAGGCTGAACTGTGTTGGTGGTTCTAGACGCGCATGGCCAGAACGTGGGCGTGTTCAAGCTTTCCCGGATGTTCGCCCGCACGAAGCAGCTTGTCCCGTTTGCCTCTTGAGGTTGGTGTTCTCAAGGTTGAACAGATTGAGACAGCTCGATTCGTGTGTCGAATGAACTGAATGCGCTCTTTTCAATTAAGCGAAGCGCATGCACGTGGTAGACTCGATGTGTTTTTCGGACGATGCCCGGCTACAACGGCTGGTATACAGACCACTCGCGATGATGTGTTCGCTGGTGCATTACGAGGACGCAGAATCCGGTTTTGGGATGAAGTCGACGTTGAACTAAGAATATCGATGTTGTTGTGCGGACTGGGCTTCAGTCATGGTGCAGCTGTCACCGAGATCACGCCATCTGTGAGCCTCAGGCCTGGGCTGGGATAGACGCAGTAGCAGTAGTGAATCTTAGCCCCGAGCTGTCGTTTGAAGCGTGAGCAGGGAACGGCCAAACCATGTTTTCTGCAGTTCATCGTCGCATGAACACATTGATCTGGCGGGTGCAGTAGCGGCCAGGTGGTTAGATTTTGCTGTCAGTGCTGGGGAAGGCATCCAGCTTCCCCAGTCGCGAAAAGAGGGTCCCCCATGTCTCCCCGATATGATCCGAGGCTGCGCGCGCCCTGCCACCCTGCGCCGACGAGATTGGTTCATGCGCGGACGAGACTCACCCTGAGGAGGCTGCACAGTGTTCGCGATTGATACGGGCGAGAAAGCCCAGAGCGCGCGTGAAGCAGTTTGGAGTTGCACACGCGGCCCACTCTGCTGGCTTCAGTCTGCGACGTTTCGGGCTGCGGAGTGACTGGGGGCTCCGCGGCTGGTGGTAGTTTCTGACTTTCTGTTTGGAAGGGCCGAAAGACGCGCCAATCAGCGGCGGGCAGTGGCAGTCTGGAACGGCAGGTGCCACCGGGACCGCCTGCATTCCCTCAAGCTTCGCCCAGACACCTCCCACTTGGCCTTGACGCTTAACCCACGACGGCGACCCTCGACCTCAACACCACACACAGGCCATGTCGCTCGTCTGAATCTCCATGGGCTTCTTCTACCGGACACGAACTGCTGCTGGACCAGTATAACCGCCGACCGAGCATGTGGGAGGCCGAGTCCTGGCGGCATGGAGCGCCTCTCCTGGACCGTCGCGCGCCCGATGCCACCCGACCCTACGTGAGTATCACGACCGCGACGCCCTCCACGCACGCGACTGACGACCGCTACCAGCACTGTCCCTCGTACAAGCTGCCTGCCCACGGTACCATCGAAATTTCGCCCGGCAACACCATCACGCTCGACCAGAATGCCGTCTTCCGCCCGCTCTGCACCAACACGGCCACCCAGCAGGGCAACATCGACGACGGCACGGGGGGCATCACCAGCGTCGCCGACATGCGCGACCCCTTCCACGCCTCCATCACGCCCCAGGCCTACGCGACAGGCGCCGCGACCGTCATCGCCTGGATGCTCGTCATCATGCTCATCATCACACCACGCACTTTCTTCGTCGGCAACGCTTCGGGACGCTCAGGGCTCATGGGACGACGCGGCATGATCAGCGGCGCAACAGGGAGCGGATCGATCATTGGAGTCGGAAGCCGTCCATGGCTGCAGAAGGCCGCGGCCCTGACCGTCGCCATTTCCCTGACGCTCGCCACCGCCGACACGTTTAAGATCGCCGAACGCCAGTACGAGGAGGGCTTCATCGACGCCATGGAGCTGCGCGACCAGGTCGTGGCTGGCATGGAAATCAAGGTTTCGCGCGTTGTTTCCGACATCTTCCTCTGGCTCGCACAAGTACAGACTCTGATACGCCTATTCCCGCGCCACAAAGAGAAGGTCATCATCAAATGGGTCGGATTCGCTCTCATCCTGCTCGACATTGCATTCAGCTGTCTGAACAGCTTCGGTCCCTATGAGAACCAACGCCGCCCCGCACATTTCGACACCGCGATCCCTGCCCTCAGCTACTTGTTCCAACTATCACTCAGCATGCTCTACGCCGCCTGGGTCATGTACTATGCCATCACCAAGAGACGATACGCCTTCTACCACTCCATGATGTGGAACATGAGCGTCGTTGCCCTGCTATCTATCATCGCCATTCTCACACCCGTCGTATTTTTCATTACCGATATCGCCAACTATACCATTGCCGGATGGGGAGACTACTTCCGCTGGGTAGGGGCTGCCGCTGCCAGTGTCATCGTTTGGGAGTGGGTTGAGCGCATCGAAGCGCTAGAAAGAGAAGAGAGAAAAGACGGAATCCTAGGGAGAGAAATATACGACGGAGACGACATGCTCGACAACACCCCATCCGACTCCAAGTGGCCTTCAAAACGCAAGGGCCAGCTATCAGAAAAAGATGAGAAGAAGAGTGGGGGAAGCTCAGGCGGCTTTGGCGCGTTCACCTCAGCACATGCCGGCCGCTTCAACGACCTTGCTCAGAGGTTTGGACGCAAGATGACCGAATCGCCACGAGCAGAAGCACGAAAGAAGCGCACCATACACATTCCTGCACCACCCCCGGTTGTGCGAAGATCCGCATCTGCTGCACGTGGAGACCGCAACTCGCGGGCCTATGTACGAGTGCAGACCCCGCCTCCGGTACCAGTCATCGCATCACCGGTCAGCAGGACAGACACCACCAGTGCTGACTCGACTGTATACACAGTCCGCTATCATCCTATCAGCGATACACCTGTGAATCCACGGCACGTCCCAGCAGACGATCGACCAGGAAATCGTGAAACACAACCACCAACACAAAACGCACAACAGGAACCTCAGGCTCAACCAGCTGACCCTGAGGATCCTGAGAAGGGAGGAGAACTGGAACCTGTCACCAGCCGGGGTAGATTTCAATGGCAAGCTTTAGGAAACCCATTCCGACGAAAAGGACGGACCCCGCCAAAGGAACTCCAGAGGGGGCAGGTCATCGAACCACTCGCGGTAGACGACGTCGCAGCCAACATACCCCCTCGCAACTACAACGGGCTAGCTCTAGCCGATCGCCTGGGTACTTTTGCCGCACAGCAAGGCGAAAAGCTCAGGTCGAAGAAGAAGCCTGGGTCACAGCACGAAACGACTCTACCAGTCACAATCATTCCTGCCCAACCTCGGGGCCAAACCTGGTCTCCGGACATTATCCGACAACAGCAACAAGCGCAACAGGACGAGTCCTCTGCCAGTGCGGGTACGCAGCAAGCGAGTGCGCCAACTCCGAGCGAACAAGATCAATCTCATGGAGGGACTAACTCAAGCGAGGTCGTTAACCTGTCGGCCTCGCCAAACTCCACACGCACTCCCCGTATCCGGTTCTCGCCGGCAGCCCCGCTTGGTCGCCAACACAACAATGGTGGTCTTGGGACAGAGATGCGACAACCGCCGTCTGCACCAAGTTCACCGTTGCCACAAGACGAGTCGACATCAACCATCGACTTTAGCAGGCCGGAAAACCACACTCGGACAGATCACGACAGGTAGATTGTCGGCGCACCATCTTCTCTCGCATGTTTCTGTTTATATTTCGAACGTTGATAGCATGTATATACCCCCACATTGAACGGCGCATTGATGGCATGGATTGAGGAAAGTGGAAACTCCACACAGCATCGGCATGGAATGGCGCAATTGGAACTTAAAAAATCTTTGGTGTTTGTATGAGGGATGGATACCCGCCGGCCATAAGGTCAGGCTCTTTGATTTAGGTGGAATGGCGCAAGCCTGCGACGACAGGGGGAGCAGTGGATACTGCGATCTATTAAGCGCTATAGCATGTACAGCAAAATATCAATAAATCAGTAAATCATACGTTTGCACTTGTCAGTAACTCCTACGTTTACAGTTGTCAAAAGTCAAGCAGGTGTGCCAAGGCATTGATAAGGCTGTGACGATCTGGTAGGGCATGGGACGGGCGTTAGTGGAGCCCGGTTCCT